TATAGGTTGACCGAAAGCGTTAATATTCTGGTGTTAAAGGCAACTTTAATGTCCGATTTAATTATTTTTCATATGAGAAAAATTTGAATGAATTTTGGATAAATTAATCTAAAACAAATCAGATACCTGCAAAAAAATAGTCATAACACCCTAGGGAATTATTTCGTATCTAACTGACTTTGACATAATGTCATTATTTCTCGAATTATATACCAGTCGGACATTAATTTTCTTAATTTTTAAGTGGATGTAAACAACTACATATAAGTACATAATCTTCAACTTTTCTTTATTATTAATTTTCCGTACGTTAAGTTAAGTGGATGGAAATGACACTTTATGTGACACGGATGGAAATGAACGCCGAGCGCAGCGAGGCGAATCAAATCCATGCAATTCACATTTATTTCGTAATGATTTAGTAATAATAGTAAATGTACTGAATCGATACGATTATGCAATACAGATATTTAAAGGCTTTGGACTATTTTAGAGTGAAAATAAATAATGTTGTACTGGGTAATTGTCTATATTTTACACCTACACCTATCTCACCTGTTTGAAGAGATACCCAGAAATGTCAAATGTGAAAGTTGTAGGTAATATCAGAAAGTTTTCAATGAAGTTTGTTACAAGTATACAGGGTGTGTCACAAAAGTAAGGCAAAGCAAAGTTAAACTTTTTTAAATGGAACATCCCATATATTATTGACGCATTTTTTTAGCCTTTTAAACATTCCAAATATACTAGATTTTTTAGGTTTATTACTTTATTCCATTTTGAAGATAGAATATGCATTTTTTACTCGAATGATCACCTTTATATATTTTGCTGGTGGTCTCTATACTACACCTTTTTCAATAGAAATGTAATTAATATTCCACCACTTTATTTCTTATTTTCTTCCAGACTATTAGGCGTTAATAATATATGAAGGGGCTTTTGCTTTGCTCTACTTTTGTGACACACCCTGTATACTTGTAACTAACTTCATTGAAAACTTTCTGATATTACCTACAACTTTTACGCTTGGCATTTCTGGGTATCTCTTCAGACAGGTGAGATAGATGTGGGTGCAAAATATAAACAATTTATATATATACATATACAAAGTATATTTATTTATTTATTTATTTATCAACGAACTTTACCCACAATTTTACAAAGAAAAAAATTATTTTACAAAATAGAAATACAGTCCCAATTCCACCACATTTCTCTCTCCACACACTAATCAGACTATTTAGTTAATCACATTACATCTTAATAGGCTCACAAAAGTATCAATATTGACATCAAAACTCCAAGTAATCTGAATAACAGTTAACCATTCGTGCCACCCTGAGGTGCCACCCTTGGCATGAATAAATTAAAACCAGTATAAGTACGAGTAAAAGCCTGCTGAAATGTGTAGGAAGTTCTTGTGTTTCTCGGTGGAACCGCAAGCAACACAGAAGAAATCAGAGTCGGACAGTCAACTACATAGTTGATAACCTTGAAAAAAAGTTTAAGGTCAGCATGATCCTTTCTAACCTTCAATGCTGGCAATCCAAATCTCACTTGAAGTAAATTGTCATAGGTGTATTTATCAATTGGTGGAATGTCTGACTTGTAAGCCAGATATCTCAGATACTTTCTCTGCACTTGTTCCAGTTTATGAATGACATGCATAATGAGGGCTCCAAACCTGCGAACAATACTCCAATAATGGCCTGACGAGAGCACAATAAGTAGTCAAATAGTGGACACATTATTAAAATCAGATGCAGTTCTCTTGATAAAACCAAGCATACTTAGAGCTTTAGAAACCATGGTATCAATGTGGTTGACAAGTATAGTGTGGAGTCCATGTTAACTCCAAGATCACGAATGACTGAGACCTGAGATAATGGCTCCCCCTTTATGCTATAGGAAAATTCTGTCTCCTTGGGTTTTTTTAGTGAAGCCTATGGAATGACATTTAGCAATATTCAACTCCATTGTATTCCGATCACACCACTTATCGAGTCTCTCCAGGTCTGAATGAAGCTTGAGACAATCATCCAATGAAGAAATTGCAAGGTAGCACTTCAAATCATCAGCAAAACACAGAAATTCAACGAATTCAAAACAATCTGCAATATCATTTAACAAACTTTATGAACAGCAAGGGGCCCAAGTGGGATCCCTGGGGAACCCCAGAAGGATTAGCAATATTCCTAGAAGTGTAGTTATTCACCTTGATTACCTGTTATCTATCCGTAAGGTAGCTGGCCAACCATTCCAACAAGGTCCCCTGAATACCAGCGGTTCTTAACTTACCAATCAACACCCCATGATTGACCCTGTCAAATACCTTAGAAAAGTCTGTGTATACAGGATGAACCTCTCCACCCCCATCAAAGACGCCCGACAGATATTCAACAAAAGTCACCAAATTCAACTCAGTAAATCTCTCCACTGACAAAGCCAAACTGCTCATCGATAATTGACAAACCCAATATAGATTTTAAATAGTGCAGGTTACATATCGGTTTATAATTGCGAACATCTGCTCTATTTCCTGACTTGAAAATAGACTTAAGGTAGCTCACTTTCCAGAAATCCGGAAATATGCCCGAAGAAAACGATTTATTAAAAATAATGTGAAGTGAACGGAAAGAACAAAACTGCACTGCAAGACTTTAACATTACAGGAGGAATTCTGTCAGGTCCAGGGCTTTTGGTTATGTCAATCCTAGTAATTTCTTCAAAAATGGCTGATATCGGAATTTCACAGTCAGTTACATAAATATGATTGAATGAGGGGATATCCTGACGGATAACATTTTTCCCAGTATATACTGACTGGAAGTACTCAGCAAAAAGATCAGGCAGATCAGGACTAAGTTGACGCTGATTATTATCAAAAAAAATTGAAGATGATAACTCGGTTCCACTCTTTCTCTTATTATGAACAAACTTCCAAAACTGTTTAACATTTACCTTATTAGTTAAATTATATTCAGTTCTCTTCACAAATTCCCGATAACATAATGATTTCTGCACTGAGATCTAAATGTTTTGTGAGCCCGTTTTTTTTGTACCGTCAGCTGTTTCAACTCTGGTGAAAACGAGATCAGAAACTTTTGTTTGGATACTTTTTTTGTGGCACAAAAGCATGAATAAAAAATACAGAACATTGTAAAAAATATTTACTATGCATATCATTCATAGAGTGAAATAACAACATTTCATCCCAATTTAATTGACCGATGCAATCACCAGAGCTAAATCAGCCAACTTATAATCATATTAAAAAACATCACTTACAAGACCACCAGAGTTGGTATGATCAACACAGTTTTTAATTTGGAAAATTAGTGGAGGATAATAGTTATCAGCTGGAACCAGTGATTTATCACTCAAAGATACTGAAGTAGTCCTATTACTAGAAAAGATTAAATCCAAAGATTTACCCTTGTTGTTGAAGATACCATTCACCTAAAACAAATGAAAAGCATATGAGTCCCCCATCAAGGTAACACCACCACCAAGCTGGACCCTCTCTCTTTCTCTCATCAAACACTGGAACTGAGCAGTATACCTTGGTTCGCCATTCACAATAAGGCATGGTAAAATCACCACACAGCCACATGGGTGCTTCATGATTCTCCATAACCATATCTACCGCTGCACAAAAGCACTGATATTTGTTGATTGGAGAGCGGAGTGGCAAATAGGCAGCAGCCAGAATAAATGAGTTAGAGCCTGAACCCACTCTAACAAATAATTGTTCGACATGATTGGGTGACTGCTGTGCAAAAAGTCTAAATCTCACAATTCCAAAATAAAAAATAAGTATTTATTTACTATGTCTAAGATGTCATTTCGATAGGAAATTTTATTCTCTACAAAAAACCTTAAGACATTCATGCATAGTTTTTGAGTTATAGCCGAAAACCCAAAAAGCTGACAAACTCACCCCGCTCTTAAAAATGCACCCCAATATCTGGTAGCACTCCGCGGTTTTATCATCTTTAGGGACCAATTGAACATATTGTCACAACCCCTATACGTTTCGTCCTGGGACGTTACAACAGAAGCGTGACCTGGGGGCGTAGGTAGGGTTCAAGTAGAGAGAAACTCGTTTGGTATAGGTATAATAAGATAATGTATTGAATAATAATAATATTACCCTAGAAATAGTACCATGACGTCTCTTCTACGGAGGGACGTACTACTTATAGGCCACTCTATATTATGTACCCTCTGTACACTTGGCGTGACTGAAGACTGAAGCTGGGTTTCAGGCAGGTCCAGAAGGGCTGCGAGTCTGCTGCGTTCAATACTCCAGAAGGGCGTTTCCCATTAAAGGTAGTTTGCACTGGGAGGATACTTAGCTAGAGGGGCTTCTCTCATTTGAGGTACTTTGCACTAGCCTTAGTCTGCCGGTAATGGGTTTCGGCACGTTATTTATACCAAATTAATGCCGACTCGCCGTCACACTTAAGTAAAATTGATGTACAAAGTGGTATTTACTTAAGTAGTTGAGAATATCAGACAATAAAATTCCACTAACGTATTAGTTCCTTATTGAATTGTAAAGTCAATAGCCCAAAAAAATCCAAATCGTAAGGAGAGTACCTCGGAGAGTACTAAAGTGATGAAATTTCAAATTTTTTTATGTTGAGATTTTGTATTTAAATTCGATGACCTTTGAAATGAGGTATCGCTTGACCCCTACTGCCATTTAAGATTTAAGGGTTGGAGCTCACCCCCGCGAGAGGGTTGAAGCGACAACATTGAAAATATGTGCCAAAGATTTCCTCCTCCAAATAAAAATCGACGGGTCCGAGCGATTTTTTTCAATGAACGATGAATACGAGATATCGACTTTGTTTCGTTTTCGCTAGCCCACCCTGTATATAAATGATACTGTCTTCTACTTTATTGATAATTTATTTTTTTAACTACATTGTTTATAAATCTTTTTCAAATTATAGTAATTATGATTTTTAATAATAAACTCACTTTAAAAGCCACCTCTCTACACCACGACTCTCTAAACTCTTCACTCCAAGAATCACAACAACTAAACACGTCCACCGACATCGCCACGCCCTCGATACCGTCCGCCTTCGATTTAGCGCCACCGCCACAGGGACTTGAGGGCGCGCAAGCGCCCACCGTCACCCAATTCGACGGCGTTATCATTGAAGGCGGCAAAATCATCAAACTAGAACGGATGAAGATGGAAGAGATCATCAATTGCACTTGCGGGTTCATCGAAGAGGACGGCCTGATGATCCAGTGCGAACTTTGTCTCTGTTGGCAGCACGCCTACTGTAACAGCATTATGAAGGAGAGCGAGGTACCCGAGAAGTATATTTGCTATATTTGTCAGAATCCGGCTAGGGAGAGGAAAAGTATGAAGTATATGCACGATCAGGATTGGTTGAAACATGTAAGTAATTTTTTAGATCCGTTTAGCAAAGATATCCAGTTTTTGTCTGCTACTAAAGTTCTGATATAAACTTCTACTTTTCAGGGAACTTTGCCAGTCGGTTCTTATCACTCCTTGGACGAAAAAGAATTCAAAGAACGTTGCGAAATGTTCAGAAAATGTCACGACGTCATCGGAGGTTTGTGCGAATTGGAAGAGCACATGCGTTCGTTGGATGTCAAAATGAAGATTGCAAAGTGAGTAGAATTTAGAATTTATATAATAATTATCTACCTATTGGAACAATTTTGAGAGACATTTTTAGAGGTGAAATTAATTGATTTTTCCAAGTTAGTTTCATACTAATTCTTTTTGAAATTCATTTAAAGTCACTCAAAAACTCACTTTGGTAGCTAGCAAATTCTCAAAACAACATCCAAAACTTAATTCTCTATTTTCAGAGCAAAAGACCACCCGAAACTCTATCTCTGGTCAAAACCGTGGGACAAACCCAAACTCGAAAAACAAATCAAAGAAGAACCACCATTTCAAAACTCGATAACCGACAAACATGATTCTTTGGAAAACGGCTTGGATATTGGAAAAATCGACTCTTCACACGACTCCATGCTGCTGATGATGCTGAAAACGGGCAAAGAAGAAATGCCGATGCTCAACATGCACAACAACGTCGGCTCGATGATTATACCGAAACCGCAAGCCGCCATCGTTCCTGTCGATTGTAAATTGAACCTTTTGGATCACATTGGACATTCTCACAATTTGATGTCTGATCAATTGGATGAATTTGAAAAGGAATTGGATGCTTTAGAACAAGGTTTGGATGTGGAACGAGATGAAAATTATCCGCAAACTAGGAAGTCTTTGATGTTGTTGGCTAGGGATTTGAATACTTTGAAACAATTCAGTGAATTGTCAGGGTCTTAAGGACAGTTAGTTTTTTGTTTTTTAGATGTTTAGCTTTAGCAAAATGTTAAATTTTGGGAATTCTTACATGAAAACCCACTAGAAATAAAAATAATTTGAAGTTGTGTATATTTTACAGTACAAATACTAATTGAAGAATCTTCCTTATAAAATTCATTGTTCAATATAAGTAAACTTTAATAAATAAATAAATACAAATAAATTATAATTCATCATTATTGAAAATCTTCCTGCTCCTACCAATTCTCTGTATCTCGTTACTGGAAGTATTTTCAGGAGCTTCGCAAATATAACTGTAGCGCATTGAACAATCTGTTCCCTTATAAAAGTAAGACCTCAGAGCGGGGTTGTATGCCAATTTTAAACATCTGCCTTCACCCTGTACAGCTGCTGAAGGGTTTTCTTTGTTGTTTTGTGATCCAGGAGCTACGACTGGTCTGGCAGTGTTGCTCCAGATCCAGAGCAAGCCCGGATTAAGACCTCCGACCCAGAAATCTTTACCTGCAATGGAAATTTTTGTTGTGGCTATTTATCATCAACTAGCATAAAAATAAAATCCTCACCTTTCAAATTTTGATCGTTCTGTATATGAGCAACAATATCCTGATTCTCCTCAATAGTCTCAAATTCGCCCAAAACGGCCCCCATTTTTTTGCAATGCTTACTAGCAACTTTCCAATCGTATTCTCTGCCAGCCATACTGGCGAACAAATAGCAATTTTGTCCGGCTCTGGTGAAGTTTTCTGGACAAGGCTCCTCGTCCACTCTATTGCCAGCCATCACGTAGTATAACATCTCTTCTACACGTCTTAGGCGTTTTTCCATAAAATCGACTTTGTAGACCAGCTTTTCGATGGCTCCTAGTAGATAGAGATCAGTTTCTGATACTTGACGCGGAGGGGGTTTGTAAATATTTCCAGAATTGCTGGTGTTGATAACTTTGCCTGGACTGATTTTGCTTTCTTTTGGCGGTATAGTATCGACGCGCTCTTGGATTATGTAGTCGCGGTTGGAGATTGGAATTTGCATCACTCTACTTTGTCTGAGATAGAAAAAAAAACGTACTTTAGGTTTTAAGAATTGAGTTAAAAAATTGCAATTCTTCAGTTTTGCATTGCAACTTTGATAACTAGAATTTCCTACATAAGACTTTTGGGATTTTTTTTTTTTGAATAAATTCTAGTGAGTAATTATTTGATTGTCTAATTTTACCTTTTACTGTGACTTTCTCCTCCTCCCAATGCCCATTCTTCCAGTACAGGTCCCCAAACTCCCTCCTGCTCAGTCCAAACAGCAGGATTACTGCTAATCCTCCTCACGTAACTTGAATTATTGGTCAAATAAATGGCGTGACAATTATTATTAAATAATCCGGCAATTATTACGAAAATTAGGAACATTTTCGAAGAAATTTCACGCGAAGAATCGCGGCGATCGTCACGGAACAAATAATTACATATTTTGATTTCTTCTGTAGGTAGGTATACGAAATAGAACTCTCTCTTTTTTTTTTCAGGACGATGCTGGTACTTTTGAATGGGATTTTGGTTGATTTTGTAGAAATAATATGCAAAATATTAATTGTAATTTCATAGAAATATTTTGGCCCTGGTAAAATCCGTAATTGAATTTTATTGATAAATTATTATTGGCCTACTTTTTTACTGGCGGAAAAACCCATTGGAGAAAGTGGTTCATTTGAAAGGAGAGTTTTGTTGTTTACCTAATTGAAATTTGCATACCTTTTTCGAGTATTTTAATAATTATTATTGAACTATTGTTATGAGTTATAAGTTCTTCTAAAGCCTTGTTAAGTAGGGTTGGGCAGATTTATCTCTTCCTGGTAATTTGTAGGGCTGAAAATTGTTTATATCTTATCCTAAAATGTTTGAGGTGAATTTTTTTCTGGCTAGACTATTTGTACAGTTAGTTGGGTGTCTTAAGCCACTGGAGCTCTGTTACCATGTAGCTCACACTCTTCCAAGTCTGGGAAATGTGATTTTGATGCAATTCTACAGTTTCCAATCTACTCTGTGTCTGATGCGCCGCTTTTGCGTGTTGTCAGATTCGCTTATAGCACTTTACAAGAAGCTATTTTTTATCATTGCTCTTTTATTGGGACCTTTGGAATCCCTGTTTTTTTTTTTTGGGAAGCTTTCTTTCCAATAGCATTTTGACCTTTCCCTTGGAGGGTTTTACCCTTATGACGGGTATTAAGGTAAACGCACTTATTATCGACACCTTAAGCGTAATTTTAGATTTTTATGTTAGATAAAAAATACCTACAGGCTCAAAATCATCGAGAAATTTTGTACTTAGGTATATGTAGTTTATGTAGTTGGCTTTTTGGCAAGTTAACTGGTTTTAGCAAATAATCAGAGTTATTTTATTTTTAATAAAATAATTGAGGATGTCATGTTTCACTTATTGCCGACACTTGAAATTTAAGATTGTCCCCGGCATCGACACAGTACCCAAGTAGCACTCCCATGTTGGGCCAATATTGGGACAATAACTACGATTTATTGGCCCAAGTCAGATTCTCTATGTTGGCCCAATAAAAGATGTGGACATTCTGCTATATTTGTCCAAGAACGTATGTCAATATATACCCAAAAACAAATACCAACGTTGGTACAATAACGTAACCAAATGTTGGCCCAAAAAGAAATAATCAATATCATAGCAAGAACTTTATGCAATATAGAGCCAATTGAAATTACCAATATTGGCCCGAAGACGTATGTAAATCTTGGCTTTATATTATATTCAATTAAGGTAACGGACCAATTATAAGGACCGACTAAGAAGTGTTTTCTCTCTGCCGGACCATCCGTGGATTCGTTTCGCTGTATCACAACTCATCAGCACGGTTAAGTCCCGCCAGGGTCCCGCAAAGAGAAAACAACCAATTTTTGGCTTCATCCCGGAACCAGGTTTAAAACAGGTAAAGTGAAGACAGAGTCTCCATCTATTTTTTGGTCAGCATACCAAATGCGCACATTGAATACCCTATATTGGACCAACATTTTCAATTCAGAAAATCTAACCTTGGTAAAAATTAGTATGTAAATATTGGCCCTTCATTGGGCTTTTCAAAAAATATCAATATTGTGAAAAAATTGAAAATAAATATTGGGAGTCCAAAGTTTTTGAAGTGAATTTAAATATCAATAAAAAACTGAATGCCAATATTGAATTAATATTATATTACAATATTGTTTCGATAATATAAAATTTAATATTTGGCCAATATCCAAATTACTGAAGAGTTAATTAATCTATGAAAACAATATTGGTGCAAGATTATTTTTAAATATTGTTTCCACATAGTTAAAACTAACGTTGCCCCAATATTGGTACTGTGTTGATTTAACAACAAAAATGAATAAATATTGGCCCAACTGAAAAACGATGTTTACCCCATATTATGTGCTACTTGGGTAAGACCTTTTCATCGACATATGGTTTGTAACTGTACATTATCAAGGGTGGTACGATTTGCCCATTAGCGTTGCATGTTATCAGAGTAGTTAGACACTCTTTCTCATCATTACTTATAAAAGTACGTATAAAGCCCGGGACACATTTATCATGCATTCTTCCGATCCGACTCCGATCATACAATCAGGGTCCTCATTCTTGGAACAGGGAGCAGCGTTCCCAGGAGAACGAGTGTTCTGCTGCTCCCCTGTTCCAAGAATAAAGACCTCGATTGTATGATCGGAGTCGGATCGGAAGAATGTATGATAGATGTGTCCCTGCCTTAAACCGCCTTTTCTCCTCGTCGAACAAGAACTTTGCCATCCTGATTTAGGTACATATATAGCTGTTCTATCGCAGTTAAATACTTTTTTTGGATCGTCCAATATATCTATAGCATTTTCGGTTGTAAGATATTGAGTAATTTCGGAAAACCATCTTTTAATTTTAATTTCTGAGACAGATAAGCACGTGTTTTAGTTAAGTTTTGCGAGATTCTTGCAGATATTTGCGGATGTCTTCTCATGAACCCCTCGTACCAATGCCTTCCAGGTAGGAATTCCATACGTCCGGATTTACCCAGATATGTTTGGGTTTTTAGGGTGTCCGGCCGGAATTCGGAACAATATCTGGAAAGCTCGGAGAAGTCGGAGATCGTGAAAACAACACATTGGCCGTGTTCGTTATTGTCACCTTTTTCGTCAATTTGCTCCGAAATTTTGACGGGCACGTGACTGGATCAGATAGTTTCAATTTACAAATCACGTGCCTGTCAAAATTTCGGAGTAAATCGACTAAAAAGATGACAAAATCCACAAGCAGACTAACTGTGACTGACCTATTTTCCCGTGCGATTTTCAAATGTCAAAGTGTGGGCTAAGTAAAAAGCAACGTGTTTATTTTTTCATACTAATGACCATTTGCACCGATCTACTTAAGGGAAATTTTAACGATAATCAACATTTAAAGTGACATTTTTACATGCAAATATGTCATTTTGAAATCCTTTCTTAAAATGGTTGGTGTAAACGGCCATAGATTGTAGATTTCGGGGGAGTCGTTTTGGCTTTTCAGCCGCTCAGCACTGCTACTTTTGCAGATATTTTGTGCGTGACTCTACATCTTAATTTGTCTCCAGGAAGCGTAGACTTCTGCCGAAGGAAACTATTTTCCTGAGTGTCAGTTGGCCCACTTCAGTGTTGCCCCCTCGAGGAATTTGAGCCTCTTGCAAAATTGGGCTGGACATTCGCAGAGCAGGTGCTCTGCGGTCTCTATTGCGTCTGAGCAGAATCTGCAGAAATCGTCTTCTGCTCTGCCTATTAACCTTAAATGGTATTTTACTGGGCAGTGTCCTGTGAGCAGTCCCACCACCAATCTGATGTGGCTTTTCATTAAGCCATAGTAGGGTTCTGGTCCATGGTATGGTGTTGAAGCCCCTTCCTTTGCGAGGCCATCTGCTTCTTCGTTTCCTTCTATGCCTCAATTTGTACTCTTTTTCCGCCAGGAATTGTTTGTATAAACATTATTGCATCGATCAAGATTGCTGCAATTTTTAAACTTGCTAGTTTATTTATAACAATAATGTACAATTGTTTGTACAAAAATGATTGCGTAACTGCAGGTCAATAATTTCAAACTGGTCCATTTTATTAATTTTAAAATAAATCCTTTATACTTATTGTTTTATGGCTAATTTTGGCTACTTTTCAAGATTAGACAAGAGACTTCTTGTTATTAAGCCCGACTCACATTAGGCAAATTTGAAAAATATATATTGCCTGTATTAGTTTTATGTTTGGCCAAGTGTACATTCATTAACCTTCCCCTTTTCAAGAAATATAATTATTTTTCTAAAACCGTACCTATAATAGGATTGTTTCTGCAGAAATTACAAACCAGTCAGAGTGAATTTCATTGGTTGAAATTCGCTCTGACTGGTTTGTGATTTCTGCAGAAACAGACCTAATATGTCGCAATTTCTTGGATTATCGGGGTCAACAGATTTGGAGGACACCTAATTCAAAGAAAATCCGCACTCGTGCCGGCTGTAAATCATGATTTTATTATAATTCTGTCACTTTAGGTCCCAATTTAACAGGGCCGGTCCAATAGCTATTATATACCAAGGCAAAGCTCAATTCTGGCGCCCCCCTTCTTTTTCAAATTGTGTTGTCAAAAAGAAATATGATAAACAATGAATTTCTGTTCTCATAGAAATCACAAACCAGAAAGTTTTTGATTGGTGCAAATCGCCAACAACCAGTTTTCTATTCCTTTTTTCAACCAAAGAAATTCGCTCATAGGTTTGTGACTTCTGTAAGACTGAAGGTATATGTATTTTTCAAATTAACTAAATACAAAAATAATTTTTTTAAAGTAAATAAATTATTAACAATAATAATAAACCCGTCTGACTTTACGTCTTGCAATGTAAGAGATGTAGGTCTATTCTCATAGAAATCACAAACCAGTCAGAGCGAATTTCATTGGATGAAAATAGGCAGAAAACTGGTTGTTGACGATTTGCACCAATCAAAAACGCTCTGACTTGTTTGTGATTTATGTGAGAACAGACTTATAATCTACACGTTTGAACAATCCATAACTATGGCGTGTGTTCATGGTCGAAGGTTATAACATTTTCAATTCCTACAGAGAAAGTCCGTTTAATCTTTCTTGAGGCAAAGATGTCGAAGGTGCCATGATGAGCGGTGTGACATGACAAGTGAATGAACTATCAACGCACAATGTTATTAGATCTTTAATTTTTTCCCTATTATCATTGTCACAGAATTTTTTAGTTATCTTCTTTACTTGAAACAAATTTGTTTGCAATTTGGCGCCCCTTTATCATGGCGCCCTAGGCGGTTGCCTCGGTTGCCTGTGCCTAAATCCGGCCCTGCAATTTAATTACCTACCTAACCTTCTATTTTGATATTTTTATGGATTTGATTTATGATGAGTTGAATGTGATGACACATGCTTGGTGACTAACTATTGAAATTTGGACGTATTTTAGACATTTCAATTAATTTGTGTCAATGTTAAATTAAGAAAATTAGAACATTTCTTCTAATATTGAATATTGGGGATTTATTTTACATTAAATTATATTGTTTCAATTTACATTATTTGATTATACCTACATTTAAATTTACTGTTTTTGTATTTCAAGTCTTTGTAAATTACGGGTCTATTTTTCCTGGGTCATTATACATGAACCAAACTCCTTTCGCCCTATATATTTGACATATGAACCCAAACTTACCAATACTAACCCAAAGTATCCCAAACTTATGAATATGTAAGCTATTTGAAAAAATAATCAATGAATGTCTCTTGTGGTAGGTACCTACAAAAACATCATATAGGTATTAACTGCAATTCAATCGGGTTTTTGTCCGCACAACCTGGTTATTCTTCGGTTAGAAGTTGCCAATGCTTTTGCGTTGAAACAAGAAATAGTTGATATACCGCTTCAGAGTGTGTGTGACGTCATGAGAGTTTCGTCCAGCCGCGCTCCGCATTGTTAATTTGATTGTTTCTGGTACGCGTGAGTGGTTTTTGTTTAGATTATTGCAAGTGACACAGGAAAAACATATGCAAATTCAATCTACTTCATTTTCTCGTGCGTCGCTTGAGCTTTCGTGACGTCATAGGATGAGATGCGGTACCTTCATAGAGCCATATCTTCGGTATTATTTGTCATAGAGGGGTGCGGTTTTCAATGTTATTCTTAGATTTTTTTTTTTCTCTTTTCTTTGAGATGAAGTTGTTTTTTTGGAGAACACCCCCTTTAATTATCGATAAATCACAAGAAATCAATCTATTTGAAAATATCCTGGCGTTTAGGTATATCCAATTTCTTATCAGGAAGAACTGCTAGAGTCTTTTTGAATAGTGTAATGTCCCGGCAAGTCATATTAGAAAATGGAGCTCTTTAAGGATCTGTCCTTAGTCCTACTTTGTTTGATTTGGCTATAAACTGCTGTACGAGCTCAAAGTCTTCCAGTTGAATCAATATTTTTTGCTGATGATCTTATCTACTGCCCCTGGGTGAGAATTGAATACCACATGTAATATAGTTCAAAATGCATTAAATATGAAATCTCAACCTGGGCCAATTCAACGGGATTCGTATTTTCAGCTTCCAAAATTGATGAATTTTATTCTCAGGAGGGATCAGTATGTTGCTAGACTTTCTCTAAACGACGTAGGTATTTTATACCAATACAATCAGTCAACAGTTGTAAGTATTTGGGTATAATTTTTGACTCCAAACTAATCTGGAAGCATTACATTCAGGAAATCAAATCAGCATGCACGAAACGCTTAGAGATATTGAAATCTTTGGCTCATCATCAATGGGGTGCTAATGAAACTCTCTTAAGAATTTATAGAACCCTCATACGATCTTTTAAGCTAGAATATGGAAGTATGGTTTACTCTACAGTCTACAGCAAGCTCTACGACACTGAAAAAACTAAATATTATCCACCACACAGCAATTCTTATTTGCCTAGGAGCTTTTAGAACGAGTTCAGTTGACTCTTTTTATTGTGGATCCTAAGAACTTTCTCTTCAATTTGATCGAGAAATGCTTCTCCTTCCATACACAACCACCGTATATAAAATTCTGGAAAACCTGTGTAATGACTTACAAAATACGGGGTCAGTTACTTAGACAAAATTATTTTATTAAGTAAATTAAATAGAGACAAAGTAACATGTTTTTGTACCAAGAAAAATAAAAATTTAATTTTAATCCAGCGCAGCATCCAGGCGCGAATCTTTGATATGATTTTGAACCGAAAATTATGGAAAATGAACACTTGCAAATTTTGTCGGCTTATAGATTCATAAAGAAAAAAATTTCTAAAAGCGTGGGACCCGAGACCAGAAATGACGCAAAAATCGTGCATTAAAAGGGCATGTCCATATAGGCAAGGTAGTAAGTCAGTAAGAAAGTAAGAGCGGTCAGTTAGTAACAGTCAATTAGAAGCTTGAGTTGAAAATCGAGTAAAAAGTCAGTTTCCGAAAATGTAGTGAACAATAAATTACTTACGAATCTAAGCAATAGGAAATTCTTGAATCAGAGTGAGAAAATTCTTAAATCGAGAAAACCATCAGTGAAGTTCCAATCGGCCAATTAATAATTTTTGATGTAAACGAAACAGTTTAACATATCCATCGCGAACTTGAAGTAGTTATCAGAACTTTCAATTATGAACTTTGAATATTTGAACTATAACTTATCCATTGACTATTAGTAATATGCAATCACTGCTCGAATTATTTCTATACTAGTAAATCGTGAAATCTTTGAAAAGTATAATAATAAAGAAGCGAATGAACATAAATAAAGGTTTTGAATTTGATGAAATGTTTTGAAATGAAACTTACTATTTCAAGAGATAAGCTCTTAAGTCTTGGAGTAAAGAATGTTGTTCACCTCATTGAATAAATAAAGATTTTAACCACTTTAAATGCAGAAAATGTGTGTACTTATTTCCACCCTTGGGGCCTTATTCTCCGTAGTTCATAAAGCCTGGCTTAGTGGAAAAGCTATGTTTTTTGTGTGACAAAACCGAGCTTTTCCACTAAGCCAGGCTTTATGAACTACGGAGAATACGGCCCTTAGCAATTACGAACCCTACCACTGTAGCCACCCTAGTAAAAATCTGTAACAAATTGGAAATTACTTGCCGACAATCAACAACAATTCCGTTGTATACTCAACGTACCTACTCCTAGGAAACCTTACTCATTTTCACAAATATTTATTTATTTATTTATTTATTTATTTATTTATTTATTTATTTACCAAAAACCTACCCAACAGGCACAAATGCCCAATTAATAGATAGGAACTAACAGGAGTTACAAAAAATTATCAGGTAAATCAGTAAGTCAGTAACATACATGACAGAATGAAACTTAAACCTACTACTTAACTTACTAATTTCAACAAAATCAAATTAAATGGTTATTAAAGTAAGCAGAAAAGCAGAAGCAAAGGCAGAACAACAACTGTCAGCAAGAGCAGCTTCAAAACGAAATGAGAGAATCAGGTTTCAAATATCGGTGGAAATAGCAAAGTATTTAATGCGGAAGTATCTTCTTAACTGTAGAAATCGATTGAGAAAAAAAATCCAAGTTAGGATAGGCGTTATATTTAGAACACATTGAGAAAATAGGAGAGAATTTGAGTGCATTTTTCCTTGTTAGAGGCAAATAGAATGTGGTATTATGGCGTGAGTTCATACGAGGTACAAAAAAACATAATCTTCCAAGCATGCCACTGCAGTCCAACAGATTATTTAGTATTTTAAACAAAGTGATTAAATAATGGTAATCATGGCGATCCCTAAGAGAAACGTAACCAAATCTCTCTAATAAGATTGTATGTGAAAAGCCCTGACGAGGATATATTCCCTCACTTTTAAACCATGCATGTTTTAAAAACCTGCGCTGAATTTTTTCTAAATTATTGATATGAACGTCATAACCAGGGGACCAAATTACTGACGCATATTCCAGTTTTGACCGAACATAAGAGTTATATAATATTTTAAGTACCTCGGTTGGTGAAGTCCCTAGTGCAACGTACGATGAATCCGTAGCTTTTTGAGGCATCAGACAGTACTTTCTTGACATGGGGAACAAAAGAAAATCTTGAGTCAAACGTTACACCTAAATATTACAAAATAGCCTTTCTGATTTTTGATTTTCTTGAACTCAACCGTTGATTGCTCTGAATTCCATGGTCCTCAAGTGTGTGGCCTAGTATCAATATGCTGCTGACTGAATTGAGCAAACATAACATAATTTTCGTGGTTATAAGATTATTTAGCTTTTTCATTTGAATCTTGATAGTACGGGATACGAGGCCTATTTCATCAAATCATTTTACACATTTTACATTTATTATTCTAGAATGATTAGTAATCATAGTTTTATATTAGGTAGGTACTTCTTCGCTTTTATTTTTACTATTAGGTATAGGGGAGCCAAAAATAGGATTTTTATGATTCTTTGGCTCAATTTCAGCTTCAAAAGGATCAAAAGTCAAGAGTTTCATACTTTTTCAATTTGATTCCGCTCTAAGATAAGTCCCAAAAGTTCTTTAAAATGTTTAGTTTTAAAATCTCTAGGATAAGAATAATCTATCATGATCCAAAGCTTTTCACTTCTCTTTCCCATCAGAGTCTTCTTCAACGCCTTTAAAAGTCTCTAATCTTTCTTTCTCTGGAATTTCGTTCATAGCAAACTGTTTGGAATCCTCTATTTTACAAGAGGACAGTATTTTTAAAAAAATTTAAATAAAACAAGGCAAAAACCTAAATTATTGACAAATAATGTAGACATTTATTTCTTATTTCAAAGGTAAACAAATAGATAAATAAGATTCTTTGGTTTTTTCATATCACCATCTTTTAAAAACTGCTTAAAAAAATTATAGTTTTCTCAACCACTATGCCTAAATACACTAGTAGTTAATTTCTATAACTTAGAGTAAGTTCTTTGTGAAAATTTTCCTTGTAAGGTCCCTTTTTCATATTAGTGGAACAAGTCGCCGATGAATCGTGAGGCCTATAATTGGACAGCTGCTGGTACACCTAAAAAATTGCCTTTTGTATCAAAAACCTCAGAATCACTAATAAATAAACTTACCTGTTTCATCCTTTGAATATTCACCTGGCTAACGGATACATGATTAACCATTGGCAAAGGGTAATCGTTTCCAACAATACATTTTGCAGCTTTTTGGATGTTCTCCGGAGCCATCCACGGTTCGTGGATGTAATGAGTTGGTATATTTTTAAGAATTGGAAGGTATTTTCTGCAATATATATATATATATATATATATATATATATATATATATATATATATATATATATTTTGAGTCAAGTTTCAGAATACGGTTGAAAGTTTTTACCTGATATAATCTCCATTCGGATCAGCTTTTCGTCCAAACTTGACGGGACAGTAACAATGGAAAAATTGTTGAAAAAAGCTGGAACAAGACAGCCACATCCACATGCCTGCGTTAACGGACCAATCAGCGTCGAGTAATAACTCTTCAAACACCTTCACAGAATTAAAATGTTTTAAATTAAATATCTATTTTCGATTTTTTCAGGAAAGTTTTATATGTAGATCGACTTGAGATTACCTTCATTCCTTCTTCCCACGATATCCACAAGTCGCCTCTGGTCAAAAAACAAGCCACAGCATGCCTGGCAAGATGATGGATCCAGCCTTCTTGTCTCAGTTGCGTCATTATCGCATCTATCCATGGAAAACCAGTTTGACCCTAAAATTCCAAAATTGTAATAATTCCCTTGAGATTCTCAAGAAATCATTTTTTTTTTTTACTTTATAGAAGGTAGAGGTATAATAAAATAGAACTTATGTGTACTTTAATAAAGAGAAGTTGTTCAGAAATTCTATTGTACTTACACACACTTACATTTGCCCATTTCGCCAAAGCCTCGGCGTTTTTGTCCCAAGGAATTTGGACGCAAATGGGGTTGCCGAGCATTTTATCAAAATTTGGATTTTTCGTTGCTGCACAATAGAAAAATTCACGCCACAACAATTGACCATGTAGAGACAGTGGAGGAAATGCCTATGAGAAAAAAATAAGACAGTCACATATTTCTCTATTGTTGGAAATACCTAATACAAACCTTCTTAATTTTCCTGTAAAGATCAGTAAGTTGATAATAAAACAAGCGTGTGGACAAACAACCGAATCTTAAATAAGGCGACAGCCCTGTTTGTGATGGAAGTAAAGATTGAGGCGTCATTTTTGGCCTTCCAAACGATGCCACCCAAGCTTTCCGTTCCAAATGTCGTTCCAGACGTGCCAAAGCTTCTGTTTCTCCACCCTATTCATTTTCAACATTCAATTTTTTATTCAAATAGTGACTATTTTGGAAAAATCTTACCTGCCATACTGGCGGATTCAGACCTTCAGTATCGAACCCAAGCTCTTCCAACGTGGGAACCCCATAAAGTTCATCGTGATCTTCAGATAGAGGAGTGTGAGCTAATTCTACTGTGTTGGATGTTACTGGAGCTTCTGGATATGGTGGCGCACCCATACAAGCAATCACCGCTAAGAATTGATGGTAAGTCAGTGGAGCCTTACCTCCGTTCCTGAAAAAAAAATTTCAATTTCATATAACAACAAGGCATATTTTTTATCCAGATGAGTATCCGTTTTTGATAAGATTCTCGCCAAATTCCAGAAGAATCCAGGAAATTGGACTCAAGAAGAAAATTTTTACCTGTCAATAATGTGCTGTAGCTGATACAAAGTGTGAGACACCTTCTGCACGACAGTTATCCCCAGTTCCTTACAAAGGGCCGTAATGTTGTGATCGCGGACTCTGCCGAAAGGTTCCGGATCTTCTTCGAACGTAAGTGCCGTAGTGCCCCATTCCCTGAACAATTTAGGAAGAGCGTCCGCCGGTTGGCCTCTGATGACGAACAGCCTGGAGTTGAGTTTTCTGAGGCTTCTGTCGAGGTCTTCCAAACATTGCAATAGGAATCTACAAGTTGATATTATCGTTTCCGTTGGTTGAAATTGTAGCAAAATCTCACCTCCATTTATTGATTCCAACGTTTGAAGAGCCAGCAAACCAGGGATCGAGTACGAACACGCATCTGAACGTGGTGGCACCCTTGAGGCCTTCTCTTAAAGAAGGATTGTCGTGAAGTCTCAAACCCTATAAAAAACATTAGAGTTTCTTATGAAGAATGACATCAGGCTTTTTATCTTACCTTTCTAAACCAATGAACTGCATGCTTCCCCTCCTGCAGGGCTGCCGTGTCGATTGTAGCACCACCGCTCATATATGCGGGGTGATTGTTAACATGGTCAATAGTTTTAGAGTGATTCTAAAAAAGAAAATTCAACACATAAGTTACATTTCAAGATAAAATAGTAGATTTTTCTTATCAAAAATAAGATGTCATTATCGGAATTAAATTGTTCGATATTGGTTTCCTGGACCCGGATCCCGAACCCCCGATTCGATAGTATTGTCCATATAAAATAGATAGACGATACTCTCAAATCGTGGGTTCGGAATCCGGGCCCTAATTGGATACCAAGATTGGAATTATTGGGAAATACCGATATCGATTAGCTGCGTGTTTTATCAAATTCGATAGAAAAATACTCTGAAATTATTCGCCTTAAATCTGCCGTTATTTCTTAGTTCTTATAGATGATGAAATTCTTTTTGTACACTGAAAAAAAAAGGTACACAAATATAACGAAAAAGTGCATTGAGCCAGTGAATCTCGTCATTAATATTGAGCCGGTGAACGAATTTGTTAATATTATGAAAAGCTGTTCGTTAAATAGATGAAAACAAGGTTCATTGATTTAACGGTTGAATTCATTATCGCAGAGTAAGGATTCTATCATGTGAGTGAAATAACTTCTTCAATATAATGTACAAATAACATTGGTTTAATGAATCGAATTTTCAATTTAATGTATGCGGTTTCATTGGCTTAACGTATGAATGCATTATCCTAGGCTCAGTTGCATGAACAAGAATATTCATATTATGGGTTCTCTGATCTCTCGCTCTTTCCTGCGTTTCCTCTTTTCGGTCTCGTGTCTGCGTCGCTGTTCTTCAAAAGTTTGTGGTCCATCGTGGACTACTCAACTCCGCGAGCGCCTATTATTTGTCCTGGAATGTTGCTGATATCGATGTGGCACTTTGCCAAAATTTCCTTTAGAACGTCTTTGTAGCGTTTTTGTTGACCTCCTTGATACTGTTTTCCATCTTTCAGCTGACTGAGAATATGTTGGGTAATACGTGTTTCGGGCGAAGTTAGTGCTTGATGATAAGGGCTTCCAAGTTAGTTGGGTTGGCCTCCTCTAAAACACTAATGTTCGTTCGTCGATCTGGCGATTTAATCCGTAGAATCCTTCTTAGGCATCGCTGGTGGTATTTTTCTAGGCTTTTTATGTGTTTTCTGTAGGTGGTCCATGTTTCGCAGTTATTTATGTAAGTGTTGGTATTACAACTGTATTGTAGACACGCGCTAATGTCGTGATTGTTGCAAACTCTGTCTAGAAGTCGCCGAAACGCCGCGCTAGCACACTTAAAGCAATGTTGGATTTCAGCGTCAATGGTTGCTTGCGCTGACAGATGGCTTCCGGGTAGTGTCCTACGTTCTGCAATGTTTTCCGTACACTATTAATGAAGAAGTTATTCCACTCAATGAATACCTGAATTCCGAATTTCTTCCAAAAAGAGTTGAATTTAACACCAACACAAAATATAATTTCCGGATAATGTACGTTATACTGTCGATAATATGGAGTTTGGGTGTGTTTAATGAATTCTATACGTTAGCATGACGAATAGAATAGAATAAAACTATTAAATTCATTAAATTGATGAGTAAAGTTCGTTAGTTATAAACGTTCATTAAATCACTAACACATTCGTCAAGCTGATGAAACATATTCATTAATTAATGAACTCTTGGTCATTGATTCATTGCATAACTTCATTGATACAATGAAGAAAGTTTCATAAGCATGATGAACAAACTTTTTGGGATAAGAAATAAGAAATAATCATTAATACAATGAATGTGGTTTATGAATGATTATTCATAAAATCAAGGAATGGAATCACTGATCTTCAAAGAAAGTTCCTTATACTGATGAAAGTGTTCGTTCGAACAATGAAAAATAAAAATTCACGGGTTTTATGATAATAATGAACATAAATTCGTTACATTAAGGAACGAAGTCATTAGGCTATGAACACTCATTAATTGGATTGATGAAATATTTCATTTATAGAATGAAAAAAAAATAACAACCGCCATTCGTCAATATTATGAACGATTTTTTTTTTCAGTGTAGTTAGAGTTAGAACCTGATGCATCAGATCATTCTGTTTCTGCTACACTCAGTCAAGAAGGAAGCCCATAGTAGCATTGGAAGTAATGATTCGTCTGTCGAGAAAGACATTTTTTTATATTTGAAGTCCGACGTTATTTAACATAATATTACGTTGTAACTATTTACAGTAGCCATTCTTTGATTGTGTCATTCCATCTCCAACCCCATTCTGTGATCAGGGATATCAAATGATTTGGATAGAGACATCTACCAAATCAATACAATGAGCAGCGCTTTGTATGCTGAAACAAAGCATGTGATGGTGTTGTAAATTCCAGACCCTCCAGGCCTTGGGTAAACATCAACTCCTTTGCATGATTGACTGAATCTGCACCACAGTTTATGCTGTACCTCAGAACTGTAAAGCGTTCAAGATGAGACATGTGCTGTAATTTCAACGTGAAATTATTCGGTGTATTTGTGACTTCAATGTATCAGTGACATGATAAGCAGCCCATGCATTTTATGCCATCTTTTTACCTAAAGTCTGTTTTTTTTTAAAATATTTCCCTAAGTCAAAAATTTAGTAGGGGAAGTATGCCGATGATGGCCCCCTTAAGAATAATGCCTCATAATTTTTATATTTATGATTTTTTTGTGGATCACTTCAGTTCATTTTACGGGTCTTGATAAGGGCTTTCAAAACCTGCATTGTATTCTTGATTAGTTTCATGAATTACTTTTTGACGGTCATTTTTAAAAATCAATTTGAGGGGTCCATCATAGGAGCATACATTCCTTTGATGGACCCCGGAGTGTTCCTATGTTGGACCACTGAGAATATTTATGAGAAATAATGAGAGAACATTTTGTTTCTAATATTTTATTGAAAAACTTTTATACCAAAAAACTAAGAGATCACATTCTTTAACACAAACCCCAAAATAAAGACTAGAGCAAAATAAATTGTACATAGTTCTCAGAAAAAAATAAAATAGAAAAACCACAAAAGTAAACAATACAAACAGGAGAATAACATGAATTCTACTTTAGGCATTCATTGACACAGTTCACAAACAAACAACTTGCACCTAGGGCTAACTCCCGCACAATCATTGTGGCACCAAGAGCTACAGACTTGACACTGAATCCACTTTTCCCTAGATTTTGATTGTGAATAAAGTTCATTACAATAGAGGCATGCGGCGTCGTCCGAATTTTCTTGTTCCAGATATTTGTCAACAACCGCTTGATTTTCCTCATCACTGTCGTCACTTGCAAGATCCTATCACTGTCGTCACTTGCAAGATCCTTCTTATTTACGAAAACATGTCGTTTCGCTGCTCTTGCACAAGTTTTTCTTAATTTGACTGCCTTTTGAGCAGCTGTTGCTTTGAGCTCATCAAGTTCTGGTGTAGAATTCAACGTTCCTGTTTTTCCACGTTTTCTAACCCTCCGTTGCATTGACTGAATATCAGCGACTGAAGGTGGAGGACAAATATCTTTGACCGATATGTTAAGAGCTGATTCGGATGATACATTGAGAACCGGGGATTTAGTGAGAGTTTGTGTAGTGGAAGGTCCTGGCAAAGACACAGAACTGTCCAATTGAACCATAATATTTTCTTCTTGATAAGATGGAAAGTCTTTATCAATGTTACCTTGATTGGAAGGTAATTTGACATTTTTGGGCAATGGAATAATTTTTTCAGGTTCAAGGACATCTTCTTGAGTTATTTGAGGTTTATCGGTTGTTAAAGATGGTGAAAACTGCCAATCTTCGAAAACCTCCGGGTTAAACGGATGTATTCCTGTTTTCCTGAAGGAGTTGATAGCATTTGTGGGTATGGCGCTTTTTAAATAGGCACGACTAAATAAAGCTGCTATTTGGAACTGCGTTACAGTTTTGCCAGGATTCTGTCGCAACCAGAGTTGAATTTCTTGTCCGTAATAAGTTTGCAAGGGTCGAAAAAATCCCACGTCGAGGGGCTGGACATGATGGGAACAGTGGGCAGGAAAGCAAAATATTACAATTCCGTTTTGTTTTGCGTACTGCAACGCTTCGAGGCTTTTATGACTACTATGACCATCTAATAGTAACAGAACCTTATTTTCTAGAGACGCTTTCGTGTATCTGACAAAATGTTTGAGCCATTTGCAGAAAAGTTCGGAGGTCATCCAGCCTTTCTCCTGTACAAACGAAATGCATCCCGGTGGAGCACCATTCATTAGCTCGTCTTTCATTCTTTGACGTGGAAAAATTATCACAGGAGGAACGTAAGAGCCAATGGCATTCATTGAACAAACGACAGTAACATGCTGACCGCGTTCTGCACTGCTGAGTGCCCCAACTTGTTTGCGACCTTTACAGGCATATATTTTTTGCGACTTCTTCTGGACTGTGGTCAAGCCAGACTCATCCATATTGTATATGTTCTCCGGGAGAAATTGGTGTTTGTTCCAAATAGACGCTAATGACTTGAAATATGCCAGAATGTTGGGTTTGTTAAAAGCCTGAGCCCTAGCTAACGAAGTACTTTCGGGATTTCTTAAAGATATGCGGGGATTGCGTCTTAAAAAACATTTAACCCATTTCCACCCAGCCATTTTGCGTTCCTTGTTGAAATTGTGTCCAATGCCATTTCTTTCCGCTACTTCGTAGACCAACTTACGTAAATCTGTGCTGGTAAGACCAAAAAATCGTGATTCCATGTCTATGATGTGATCAACAATTTCTTGTTCAATTTCTTTGGAAAAAGTGGCTCGTTTTCCTCCAAGTCCCTGTTTGAGAGCACCTTTATTCGTGGCCAATCTTCTCCTTAACGTGGTTTTGGGTACGTTTAATGTTTGAGCGGCCAACTTATACCCCATTTCTCCTGCCTGTACATTCCTGATGGCTTGTTCCATGTCCACTTCATCCCATTGCTGTCTTTTGGTGGTCATATCTTAAAGCAATAAAGCAAAATGTATTACCCACTGTCTTACATAGCAATATGTTATTCCTATGATGGCCCCCTGGTCC